GCATAACCAGACTGACGTATGTTCCTTAAGTTCTTCTCTTTGCATGAAATGGACATTTTGGTAGTCTTTAGGTCACTTGATCTGTTGTGGTCAGATTGTATGACTAATAATCAGACAACTCATAGAAAGGGGTCGTCTGGTCCCAGTGGGGTTACTGCTTTTCTGTGTGGACTCTGGGAAAGCCTCTTACCCTCCATTGACCTCTGCTTCCTCACCTGGGAACCATGACAGCAGAATGGTGCTGAGCATACTTGTGTGGTTTAAACAAACAGGTGCTCGAGTTTGCTTCGCTATTCCAGTGGGAACACTGAGGCAGATTAGTGAGAGCGGTGCTTCTCACACTTCAGTGTGTATACTGATCACCTGTGGAATCTGATTCCACAGGTCTGGGATGGAGCCTGAGATTCTGCATTTCTCCCAACCCCCAGGTTGACACTGCTGGGTCTCGGATCACACTTTTTAAGTAGGAAGAGTAGTAGAAAAGGGCTTGTGTTCTCCATCTGGAGACTAAAAATAAGGAGGCTCTTGAAAGGCAGGAATGGCAGCATGTTTTAAATGGATTGGTGAAAAAACATGATAGCATAATTATAATCTATCAGATAGCTCCCCAAGTAAAAGACAGTCTATTCAATAAATGGTGCTGGGAAAATTGAACAGGTACACGCAAAAAAAAACAAACAAAAAAAACCTCGACCACCATCTTACACCATGCACAAGAATAAACAAAATGGATTAAAGACTTAAAAATGCAGGACTCAAAACCATAAAAACCCTAGAAGAAAACATAGGCAGTAAAATCTCGGAGATTTCTTATAACAGTATTTTTTCTGATATTTCTCCTTGGACAAGGCAAAGGAAAAAATTAACAAATGGGACTGTATCAAACTAAGAAGGTTTTGCACAGCAAAGGAAACCTGTCAACAAAATGAAAAGACAGCCCACTGAATGGGAGAACATATTTGCCAATGATATACCCAATAAGGGGTTAATATCCAAAATGTATGAAAAACGTATACAACTCAACACCAACAAAAACAAACTGTCCAACTGAAAAATGGGCAAAGGACCTGAATAGATACTTCTCCAAAGAGGACACACAGACAGCCAGGAGACACATGAAAAGATGCTCAACATCACATTAATCAGAGAAATGCAAATTTTAAAACAAGGAGATATCACCTCACACCCATGAGAATGGCTATCATCAGTAAAGCAGCAAACACGTGTTGGTGAGGGTGTGGAGAAAAGGGAGCCCTTGTGCTCTGCTGGTGGGAATGCAGATTGGTGCAGCCACTGTGGAAAACAGTATGGAGGTTCCTCAAAAATTAACAATGAAACTGCCTTATGACCCAGTGATTCCACTTCTGGAAATATATCCAAAGAATCCCTAAACACTTAAAAGAATATATGCACCCCTTTGTTCATTGCAGCATTATTTACAATAGCCAGGATTTGGAAGCAGCCCAAGTGCCCATCAGTAGATGAGTGGATAAAAAAACTGGTAGCCCATCCTGTGTTGCTCAGTGGTTGAGTGTCAGCCCATGGACCTGGCCTGGGTTTCTGGCTTGATCCCTGGTAGGCGTGTGCAGGAGGCAGCTGATCAGTGTTGCACGCTCACATCTGTGTCTGTCTCCCCCTCTTCCTTCCCCCTTTCTAAAAACCAATAAACTATTCAGAAAGAAAAATCTGATTACATAGGCTTTTCAGTTACAAAAAAAATAACAGTGTAGGCCTCCAGCATATACTGGGACCCTCTGAAATTCCTAAAGCTAAAAATATTTTAGCAGGTCATTTGACGCAGTCATCTCTAGCACCGTTGTGGCCACTTTCTGCTTATTCAACATGAGGCGAAAGGCAGTGGCTAGAATTTCCGTTTTTTAACTGCTGATTCTAGTGGTTGTCATTTTATTTTTTTTTTTAAAGGGAAGTAGCCTCTGTGGCACTGGGATGGATGCTCCAAATAGACGATGACTCCTGGCAGTAATTCCAAGTCTGTTCTAGGTACGGACACCAGTGCTAACATGAGGCTGGTGCCCATGTCCCAGGAGCTCTCCATTGCAGGGAGTCGTCGTTTATAGCTTATGCATTCAAGATTTCAGGCCCACTGGGCAGATACTAATTCTTCATTTTGTTTAGCACTTAGCGCTTTAGTGCTCATTAGAGACCAGCATCATCTCTGATGAGACACTGCTTATAACTTGTAAAAGAAATACCTCACCCAGCTGGCGTGGCTCAGCAGTTGAGCATCAACCTGTGATCTAGGAGATCAAGGTTCAATTCCTGGTCAGGGCACAAGCCCGGATTGTGGGCTTGATCAATCCCTGGAGGGGGGCCTGCAGGCAACTCTCTCATCATTGATGTTTCTCTCTCCCTGCCCTTTCCATTCCTCTCTCTGAAATCAATAAAATTA